GGAATTGTTGACTTACATAAGGGCATATTCGTTGTCATACATCCCTGCCAATGAATAACCAGAGCACTGGTCTCAAAGGAGATGGACATGACAGTACAAACATCTTTTCTAGTGATATTGGCTGCAAATTTTCCAGTTGATTTTCTTTTCCTTCAGAAAACACTGATCTGATAAAACAAAAAAGACAATAAAGAAATTACTTGGTCATTGCTTATAGTTTTTAATGGAAAAATAGTTATGCCTTTTACGTGATAGACCCATATGATTTATGTTGTGTTATGTTTTTATGTAAAAGTTAAACAATAAAGAAGTCAGACCAAGATGTCTTGGCCTGATCAAAATAAGACATTGGGGCCTTTTCCTAGTAGCATATTTCATATAAAGGCATTCGTAGCATTTCCAAAATTAAATTCCAAAGAACTTCATTTTGTAGTAAATTACAACGTTTAGAGTTTTGATGTTGAGCAAGGACAAAAGGTAGGACTAAGTGTTGAAACTTCTTCTCATGCAGAGGTTTTGCTTCTGGATTGATTGCAGCACATGTAAGGCAACAACGCTGAGGAATAAATAATTACCCACAAAATTTTTGAAGAAAGATTATCAGGGCTTTCCCAGGTCTAGAGGAACGTGAAGGCAATGGGCTATGGGTAAAAACCAGCTACTTAAAACACCTCATTTATCTATCTAGATGACAGAAATAGCAATGTGGAAAATAATTTCTTTTTCTGTAAAATGGAATCTTTGAGGGACAAGATTTCCCTCCAGCACAGTCTTCATTTTAGTAATGCACAGCCATCACAGGGGGACAGGAATACTTCCGAGTCCAGTGTAAAACAGACCACCAATCTCATGCTGACCTAGTCTCTTCTTGTCCACTAAAGAATTAAAACATCCCCTCCTACTCTCTTTTTTTTTCTCCACAAAGAACATAGCTCAGCTGAGAGAACAATCCAGCCTTGTTAGAATGACTAATTCTTAAATAATTTCTAGTCTCTCTGGAAAATCAGTAGAGGCATTGAAATAAAAATATTCCAAGAGAATTTAAACATACTTTCACCTTGACTTTTTTTTCTGTTTTTGCTTGATTATCTGTTGGTTCATTCTTTAGAGTTGTGAAGACATCTAACACTCATACACAGGTATCCAATGGAAATCAATGTCTACCCTTTGGTTTCAATATCTGGTCAAATGTTTAAGACTATTACATTTCGTTTGAAACAGACATTGAGAGCATTTAGACTCCTGCTGCTCAGATCAAAAAATTGGTCCACTCCACAACACATTGGAAGTGGAGGCCTGCTGACTGCACTCCTCGAAAGGACACAGAAAAACATTTTAGTGAGATAAAAAAGCTGTGCTTTATTCAAATGAATTTCCTTTTGCTAGTATCTTATATTAGCAAATCTGGAGAGCTTTCCTGTGTCCTTTGTGGCTCCAGTTTGGTCTACTCAGAGTTGGTTTCATCTCCCAAGTGGTATTTGCTCCATCTCTGCACCAGGATGAAGGAAGTCCACTAGCTTCCCTTAAAACCTGTCCCAGAAATCCCTTAAAGAAGCCTAGTCTTAATCTCTGCATTTGTGGCACAGTTAATTCTCAACTACTTATGCAATAATGAGTATAATATCTACTTTTATTATGCAAACAGTTAATTTGCTTTTTCTCTACCAGCATTACATTGGTGGCATCCAGCTGGCAAGAGAGACCATTTCCTGACACTTGCAGTAGAACTGAAGTGCCATCACTGTGGTCAGTCTGACCATCCTATCCCCATTCCTCAACAGCCCTCACCAGGATGAAAGTGTTGATGATAGAGCAACATGATAAAACAAAGAAAATCTTGGAGGGACTCAACAATCAAAAGTATAAATGAGAAAAATACCCAGGACCTAAGTGCTGACTGACTCTGAATGTCCAAATTTAGATGTCAGTTTAAATGCCTGTACTCCTTTAAGAAAGTGCACCAGGAAGCATGTTTAAGCCAAACACATTCTTCACCTTTTGTTCTGACCGTCCTACATTGCTGGACAGGGCACAGGGCTGGCCAAGACCCCAACTACCCCTATGGCATAGCCCTTCCCAGAGGGACTTGGGGGAGGTTTTCTTGTTATTGGCTGGTAAACTTATCAAACTCCAGCTAGGTATCGAAGCAGACAGAAGCACACCTAAGGCTTTGCCAAGAGATGGCAGGATTCTAACCTTCTTCTCCTCCTTGTCATCCACTCTTCTCCAGAATCTTCTGGTGTCCACAACTGTGAATCTTGTGGTCAAGCTCATGAGTTCAGATTTATGTTAAAATAGAATTACCTCTGAAAATCTGACTCTGTATACCTAGAATTTGTGTATTCAAAATTGTGACTTCTGGAAATGCTGATTATACTCTTCATCAGATTTAATATGTACTGGAGAATTTATGAAATAAAATGGTAAAAAGTTAACACTCTGAAAAGGACTAAAAAAAAAAAGGCTTGCTGGAGCCAGTCTGTAGATCATTTGTTTCATCACGTGCAAGTGGCACGAATCGTCTTTAATGCAAATGGTGGAAGAAATAATTATCTGTTTCTAATTTGCAGGGGGGGTTCTTTTGTAATTTGCAAATACTTCATTGCTTGTGCTACTTGTGTCACAAGACTCCAGGTCTATTTGTAATAATCTCTTCAACGGACAACTATGTTTGTTAAAATTTTTCTCTGCCTGATCATAAAAGAGTAGAAGAGCTTGCCTATACTTCAAGAAAAAAGCATGTTGATTCTATGTATAATGGCCAGGCTAAAAAATCCAGGAAGTATTGCAAGTAAACTCAGTACCAGAGGTTGAGATTATTAATTTTTACAATCTTTATTGTACTAAAGTCTTTTCAATATCCAAATATCAAAAGCAAGTTCATCTGCATTTGTGAGAAATGAGTGGCTTTGCACTTGCTGAACACATGCTCTGGTTGCCTCTCACATTTGCTTTCTTTGTCTCAATCCCCAGTTAGCAGTGGATAATGTATATTTGCACTTAAAATTAGCAACTCAGCTTGCTGTTCTGAGGAAAAGAAAAGGTCAAAAACCGCATTTCTGTCTCTTAATGGAAAAGGATTTTATGTAACCTCAGTGCTGGCAATCTGAATACTAAACGCCATACATGAATTTGGCTCAATGGGGGCAATTCCAGTTGCACAGAGATCAAGAGGGACCATGTTCCAGTGAACCTCAGTGTTTCCAAATCACATGGAAGATGGCTCGTGTCAAGTGAGGCTGATGCCCTCAGTACCCACGCTGCAGCAGGGGAGCTCGTGGCACCCACTGCAGAGCTGCATGGAATTCCAGCCCTGTGTAGTGACTTCAATGTGGCTGTGTCTTCAACTTTTTTCTTTCTTTATTCCTCAGCTCTGTCCCTGAGGAGAATGGACCAGATCTCCAACTTTTAGAGCAGAGAGGAATAAATGGCACAAAACTGATTTGCACCATGAAACATGCTGTGATGAAGACCTGGTCCATCAGATCCGAAGCGGCCCCTTGCCACTTGATCTAGACAAAATCACAAGTACTTCAAATGCAGAGGTTCATACTTATCTCTCAGCCACGTGGGTTTAAGATCATTACACTAATCATTTATTTTTCTCTTTTAATTCCACTCTGTCTGCACGAAGCAGACAATAAAATAGGGGCAGAAGGAGCTGCAAGATGAGATAAGATAGAGGTTTGAACGTTTTTCGAACTAACCCAATTGCTTTATGTCATTTGAGAAGATAACATGCTTTTTCTTCTCGTTACTAATAAAACCGAGGCCTCAGAAATACCCAGAATGGGAAGGTGTGCTCAGTCCCTGTCCTTTTGCAATTGCCTGGGAGAAGCAGGGCCACCTAGATCTGTTAGTGGGGAGACAGAGCAGCTATACTCATAAACAGACATATCTGTTTCCCTTTTCCAGCCACAGTGTAACATACTGACTGTCCTTCCTACCACAAAGAAGCAATATAACCTCTAGCAACCAGATCAGAAAGGGTCTATCTAGCAGACTAAAGTTTGTCCATTCAGAGTTGCAAATCACTTTTTCATGCTTGCAAGGGGTTGTTTCTTGGGGACATTTCCTCCTGGTGTGCTGCTGAATGCTCTGAGAGTCCAGCCCCAGATGACAAATGACCCAGGTGGGTGCAGAAGGAAGCATTCCTGTTGTTTCTTTGCACTGTTCCACCCTACACTATGTCATACTACACAGACTAAGCACAGCTCCCTTACACCGGTAAATCAACAGCACCTCAGAATTAAGCTAATATTTTCAAGCTGTGGAAGTAATTAATCTTCCCTCATTTCAGACACTGTCACTGAAATCACTGCATGTCCAGCACCCACTGCCCTTCACTGTGTTGGCAGCAGTGGTGCTTAGTGGCACAACACATTGGACATACACATTTATGAACAAGACCAGATCATACCTGCTTGGGTCTACATTGCCACAAAAAAGCTCACACAGGCTAGATGGCAATGAGACAGCAGACAAAATATTTGCATAAAGCACAAGCAAAATCTCTGACTTATTTCCAGGTGAAGAGGATAAAGTCAAGAAACTAGACGTGTAACATAAGCATGCATATGCATGTGCCTACCCACCTGCACACCCACATGCCTGTTATCTCACTCTTCTGACTGTTGCAACATCCCAGCCAAGTAGTGCCTTCTCCCAGGCTTTCTCTTTCTATCTCTTATTTACTCTGCAACGTCAACATTTTTTGTGCTTCTTTCTTAGTAAAGACAGCAGAGTAAAATCCCCTGTTCCCTGGGAGGGGAATTTATTCCTTACCAAACCATCAGTCCCAGGGAGCAGCAAGAACATTCCCTTTCACAGGCTTTCATATGCCAAAGTATTCTGGGTTCGTCACTGGATTTAATCTGCAAGAAATGCAATAGGCTGGAATCCTCCTGCTGTGACAGAGCAGGTGGGATTTTAATCTTTTACAGTAATGGCTTGCATGGAAAGAAGTCCTTTGTTACCAGCTAAAATTTTCTTGTTCACAGCTGGTCCAGAAGAATTTTAGCATCCCAAATTTGATGCCTTGAGGAGGAGAGGTCTCAGCCAACTGGAAGGTGGTGAAATGTTGTCCTGACTTTCAAGAAGGACAAGAAAGAGGACCCCAGAAACTACAGGCCTATTAGTCTCACTTCAGTGCCTGGTAAGGTTTTGGAGGAGATTATTTTGTAAAGTACTGAAAACCACCTGAAATACAACACAATCATTGGCCACAACCAGCACAGCCTCATCAGAGGAAAGTCCTGCTTATCAAACCTGATTTCCTTCTATGACAAGGTAACCTACCTGGTTGATCGGGGAAGCCAGTTGATGTAATCTTTCTGGATTTCAGTAAAGATTTTGATATGTCTCTCACAGGATCCTTCCGGATAAAATGTCCAGCTCACAGCTGGATAAACACATCGTGGTGGGTGAGCAATTGGCTCATGGCTGGAGCACAGAGGGTAATAGTGAATGGGGTGACATCAGACTGGTGACCTGTCACTAGTGGGGTTCCACAGGGCTCCATCTTGGGCCCTGTGATCTTCAACATCTTCATAAATGACTTGGACACAGGACTGGAAGGGGTACTAAGCAAGTTTGCAGACGATGCAAAACTGGGAGAAGCTGTTGACTCCCTCAAGGGCAGGGAGGCCCTGCAGAGCGACCTCAATAAATTAGAAGACTGGGCAATCACCAACCATACGAAGCTGATCAAGGGCAAGTGCTGGATTCTGCATGTGGGATGGGGCAACCCTGGATGTACGTAGAGACTGAGGAATGAGATGCTGGAAAGTAGTGCTGAAAGGGACCTGGGGGTCCTGCTCGATGTCAGCAGTGGCCAACCGTGTCCTGGGGGCATCAGGCAAATCATCGCCAGCCAGTCGAGGGAGGAGATTTTCCTGCTCTGCTCTGCACTGGGGCGGCCTCACCTTGAATATTGTGTGCAGTTTTGGGCACCACATCACAGGAAAGATATTAAGCTGTTAGAGAGCATCCAAAGGAGAGCAACGAAGATGGTGAAGGGCCTTGAGAAGAAGCCGTATGAGAAACTGCTGAGGTCACTTGGTCTGTTCAGCCTGGAGATGAGGAGACTGAGGGGAGACTTCATTGCAGTCTACAACATCCTTGTGAGGGGAAGAGAATAGATAGACAGTGATCTCTTCTCTGTGGTAACCAGTGACAGGACCCAAGGGAATGGCCTGAAGTTGTGTCAGGGGAGGTTTAGTTTGGATATTAGGAAAAGGCTCTTCACCCAGAGGTTGGTTGGGCACTGAAAGAGGCTCCCCAGGGAAGTGGTTACAGGACCAAGCTGACAGAATTCATGAAGCATTTGGATGATACTCTCAGGCACATGGTGTGACTCTTGGGGATGGTCCAGTGCATGGCTAAGAATTGGACTTGATGATCCTTGTGGATCCCATGCAACTCAGCATATTCTGTGATTCTGTGAGAGTAGTTTAGATGTTTCTGACTGCAGGTGTCTAACTGCAACAGAGCAATTGCACAGTAAAAACCACATGCAGTGACACCAGCATGGACAGGGTTTTCAGGACACCAGGACTAGCAGCTGCCTCAGACAACTAAGCCACATGAAGATGGAAACTAATGCAAACATTTGCCAGCTGTGCTGACCACCTGTATGGCTGATGGTCAGGAAACCAAGGCAGCCAGAAGCACAGAACAGTTCTCCATCACCTTCATAGGCACCTGAATTTCATCATAGACTGAATGGAACACATAAAAAGGGCAGTGAGGAAATCTGCATATGGGAGCTGCAGGTATATCACCCTGCTGCAATCCATTTAGCCTGTCTTCTGCTAGACCCACCATTTCAGAATAGCCAGGTCAATGAGTGCAGTGGTAAAATTATTAAGCATTTGGGGTTTGTTTTTTTCTTAAGAGTCTGGGTAGGCTGTACCCAGGTAGGCTTCGAAGGTGAGAGAAGACCACCTGAGGGAGGCATGAACAAAAGAGGGGCCTGAATGGCTCCAACCTGCCTAATTCTACAGCATACAAGGAGGTGTCTGTAGGCACAGCAAGGCCAGGAGGAGAGTCTACTGCTGCTCTCCATCTTTTCCCCACTCACTATAGTGGATGTAAGAAAGGGCACTCCAATTGATAGAAATAGTTTCCACGATAATGTGATGGGTTCTGCTGGGAAAAGATTTTATTCCCTAAGCACAAAGAAATTACGTAGATTTGTGGCTGAGAGTGCCTTTTTTTGTCTGTCTTTGAAGTGTTATTTATTTTGGAAGCAGTATCCCCTTTTGTCACAGGCAGAATTTTTTTAAAACAATAATGGAAGAAATAGGCCCAGCTCCTCACATATTTTTTACTCCAAATCCCCTCAAGTTGCCACTATCCTGCCCCACATCCTGCCACTATCCTGCCACACATCCTGCCCCACCTCCTGCCACTATCCTGCCCCACATTTTGTGTCCTACATATTTCAGAAAGATTTTGAGAGGCACTACATAACCCTGTATGAGCTCTCTCAGAAACCTGATCCCTTACCTGAGCATTTCAAATGGCAGCAAAGCACTCCTGAATATTCAGCACAAATCAGCTCCTCAAATGCATTAGCTGTAGTGTGCAGCCTGAGTAATGCCAATCCTAACCCAAAATCTTTGTGCTATTTTGGGCCACTGGAAGTTAGGCTTCTCCATGGTGTCTGTGCTTTAGTCTGCAAGGGTATTAAAATGGCTTGTTATTGGCAGACCCTGATTTTCCAAATACTGGTGGCAACCGCTCGCCTTGCAGGAGAGGGGTTGACAGTCGCATTCAGAAACATTTGAGAAAGGCAGAAAACAATTTTGTATGATGCTAATAACCAGACCATCTTGGGTATTGCCAGTCAAATTCCCTACAGTTGCCAATATTCCATTTGGAGTTTTTTATTTGAAAGAATGCCCTGCTTTGCTACAATCTCTCCCAAAGTGGGATTTCACAGTGTTTTGTCTGTTCAGCAGACTGGCTTATCTCAACTGGTCTGATTATCAGACAGTGCAGTTGACAATAATAACGAGATAGCAGTTAACCCAATACCTTGAGGCAGTCACAAGTGACAGGCTTCTCCTGGACAGCAAAGGCTTTTGGCAAGTTGTCCTTGTTCCGTTAAGAGCTGCAGCTCCTTTTTTGAAACCTGAATGGTCTGTCAAGTGGGTGGGATTCATAAAACATATTAAGTCATGAAAGGGGCAAAGATTCCTTTTCAAGTGATAAAAACAATCCCTGATACTAACAGTGACATTTTTTCCTCCCTCTTATTTTACTTTTTTTTTCCAGCAGAGTATACAGTGCACTGCACGGATGAAATGGAGTAAAATTTCACAGAAAGGATAAACAGAGGGATCTTTAACTCCCAGAATGGGCTGCTCCTTTGGAGGTGCAACGTCAAATTCACGCTGCAGTTGTTGTTCAACTTGTAAAGATTAAAATTAATGCCTTGGTAAGATACTTTCAGGAATATTATGGAGAGTGATTAATTCGCAGTCTTCTTTAACTATCATTCCCGCACACACCCTCCCAAAACTTGATCATCTACATTTCTTCCTTTTATTTTTACTTCTTAAGATTGCTATCACTATACTATTTTGACTCCAGCTTTTGACCAGAGAAAGAGCACAGCCATCATCCCATGTTCAGACAGATCTACCAGTTATGCAGTAATGTATCAGTGTGAGCAGAGCAGAGAAGACTAGAGTCAGGATGTGCTGTGCCATTAAAGTAGCTATCTACGCGGGACAAAAGCAAGCTTCACAGGCTTGCATTTCTTTCTTGTGCTCTCATTAGAACATGTGGTACCAATAATGCTCACAACATGAGGAGCATTGCGGCTGCTTGCTACTTAAAAATAAGGAGGGTGTGGGGGTGTATGTACTTCTTTCCTTAGGGAAAGTCAAAGGCAAGCACACAAGTGAGAGGCATAGTCTAAACTGGATAACTCAGACCAATTCACAATGGCTTTTTGCTTAGAAAACTACCTCAAAAGCTTTACATATATGACCAAAACCTTTAGTGCGCCACCGCTCTGACACTGCTTGATAGTTTCAAAGGAGTAAAAGAAGGCTTTGGTGGCCTATCCAGGAGAGATCTGTACCTTGATTGGAAGAGCTGAGCACTACAGTAGTAGAGAAGGTTCTGGAAAAAAGGACTTAAGCACATGATGGTACCACAAAAAGGTAGATTTCCAGGTATTTGGTAGGATGTAAATAGAGCCAGAGAATCACAGAACTGTTTAGGTTGAAAAAGACCTTTGAGATCATCAAGTCAAACCGTTAACTCAGCACTGTCAAGTCCACTACTTGACCAAGACTGTAAGTGCCACATCTACACATCTTTTAAAAAGCTCCAGGGATGTGACTCAGACACTTCCCTGAGCAGCCTGGTTTTCCAATTAGACCCTCTTCTGGCATAACTTGAGGCCATTTCCTCTTGTCCCATCACTTGTTACCTAGGAGAAGAGACAGACCCTCCACCTGGCTACAACCTCCTTTCAGATAGTTGTAGAGGTTAATAAGGTGTTCCCTGAGCCTCCTTTTCTCCAGATTAAACCCCCACAGCTCCTTCAGCCACTCCTCATCAGACTTGTGCTCCCTTCTCTCGACACGCCTCAGCACCTCAATGTCTTTTATGTGGTGAGAGGCCCAAAACTGAATGCAGGACACAAGGTGTGGCCTCATCAGTGCCAACTACAGAGGGACAGTCACTGCCCTGGTCCTGCCAGCCACACTATTGCTGATACAAGCCAGGATTCCACTGCCTTCTTGGTCGACTTGGATTCTTTGGGAAAACACCTAGAGAAAACACTTTCTCTAATTTTTAATGGGTGAATGACATTTGGTTTGCAGCTAATGCTTGTGTGTATCTTGAATACTTTCCAGAAGAACGCAGATTTGAATGTCCCCACAGAGTCTCACTAACCCTTCCTGTTGTAGGAGCCAAGCAGACCCCTTACTGGCTACCTGAAGGAGACCTAGGCCATGTCTACATAGCTTTGTTTGCCCTACAAATCGCTGCCTTGCTCTCTGTGGCTTGGAGGACACCTACAGCTGCCTCTTCACAAAACTCTTCTGTGCCAACAAGGTGATGTTTAGCAGAGGGCACATGCAATCTCATAATCTTTAGTGGGGCTGGAAGCTTGCTGGGCCACACTACATC